GTCAGGGGGGAGGGGGGAAATAACAATGAGGAGAGGGGCCCACTCATTGGGCAATGAGCACGCCCAATGCTTAGCCGGGTGGTGTGCAAGGAGGTCCTCGCGACTTCGGCACGATGAATGTCAAGCAGCGGGGGGGCGACCTGCCGCGCCCTAGGGACTGTTGCGCCCCAACCGAAAGCAGCAGCCGGGCAGCAGCTGGACAGCTTCGTCTGGAAACGGACGGCGCAGTCCACTCTATGCCCTTTGCCCCTTTTCACTGCCATAATGCCCATTGCAGCGGCCAAATCCTGCCTGCTAGTCACAAGTAACACTGAGCCAGGCACCCCTCGCACACCCTTCAAACGACGACCCACCCATCCCATATCGCTGTTGAGGGCCGCCACGTCGATGGTTGGCGGGGCGGACTCAGGCTTGGTGGCCGCGGCCGCCGCAGTCGTGTAGATACGCCACAGCACCAGCTTCTCTGGGGTTGTGGGGGTGGTGGATGGTGGGAAGTAGGAGGACGTGGGATGTGTGAGCAACGGGAGCGTGGGCGTGACTTGGCATGCCTTGGCGTGGCGCGGGGCAACCAGGACAAGCGAGAGCTCAGCAGGCAAAGGGGAGGGGCGAGGCAGGAGGCATGCACAAAGCTCCTGCATTGGCGCTCTGTGGGAGGTCGCGTGGACTGCCTTGCTGACCAAAGTCGGGCAAGCCCCGTGCAGCTGTGTTCAAAGCCTGTCGAGGACCTGGCGGGCTGTTCTGCCCATGCCCACATAACTGTGACCGTGTGACATCAGCGCAAACACAGCATGAGTCATGTGCACACGAGCGCGCTCACGCATGCACGCAAACACACGCATGTTCACACACATGCAAGCGGACATGCACACACGCATGCTCACACACACTCATGTGCATGCACACACACACACACATACACACGCATGTGCAAACACAGGAAAATGCGTCCGTGCACACGAATGGAAAAGTCATGCCAGCACGAACACACTCTCCCACCACATTGCAGCATGCACTACAGCACTCCCCTCACGCGAGCCCACCATAGTAATTGAGGTCGGGGCTGTCCAGGATGGCACCAGTCACAGCTGGCCCAGGGATGTCGAGGTGTGCAAAGCCAGGCAGCTCTCGGATCATCTGGCGTAAACAGGGGGATTGAGGGGGTCCCAGAGTGAGGTGCAAGGCCGCTCGGTGTGTGCGGAGCCAGCCATGCAGCATGGCTTGGGGCAGCCGGCGGGCGCCGTGCAAAGAGCAGGCCCTGGTGCAGTCAGTCACCATGCAGGCGTGTGCTGGCCGGCCCCGGCCGCATGCAAGCAGCGGGAAGGCACGCGGATCGGGTCAGCAGATGCTTCACGGCAGTGATAAGGAAGGGGGCCCGCTGGCTGTATTCATTAGTGCTGCAGCCCCACCCAACCTCCAGGTTAGCCTCTGCGGCGGCAGTGATTCCAGCCCAGACTTGCTGCTGCCGATCCCTGCAGCCCCGACGGACAGACGCGAAGGTTGGGGGGCCCGCTTTGCCAAGGAGTACGCCCGGCCAATGGGCGGATGCCGGACACGACACACGGTGGTCGCACGGCACGCACGGGGCATTGCTTTGGCACCCACCTCGCCCGTTTTCGCTGCTGGTTCTTGCGTGATTGCGATTGCGGCGCCATGATGGGGCCTTGCTGCCTGGCGCAGCGCACTGCTCGCGAGGCGCGCCAGCAGCGTGCCGGTGTGTCGTGCGTGAGAGATCTCGGCCGCTTTACCGTACGGCTGCACCCGGGACGTATTGCAGAATTCACGCTGATGTTTCGGCCAGTGCGCGGGACTCCACTGGCTGCGAGGGCCGCGACGGTGAGACTCGGGTGGGGGCACCGTAACTAGTCCGGGGCTTGATGGGGCGTCGTCAAATACAATTTTGTGGGACGAGCAGTTGCATGAGAGCTTGTTGTTGTTCCCGGAAACTTGAAATCCACTTCGCTGGCTGCTCTGGCGAAGCGCGTCGCCGCTAGCGCTGAGCTCGGGCTGATGGGGCTGGGCTGCAGCTGTTGCTGCAAGCTCACGGACGCCTGACGCTGAACCCTCGCGGGACAGGCGTGAGTTACCTCACTCTGGATTTTTTTGCTTCAAAGTGTCAAATTTGGCAAAGTGCTTGCGCGAGCGCAGCGTCAACACGATGGGAAGGACCCCACCAAGTTGGTATTACGGGGCAGGCAAAGAGGTAAAAGTTGCACATGCTCCTGTGGGCACGTCTGATCGCCTCCTGCAAGCACCTGCACACCAACACGATGACCGCAATCAACAGCATGATGAATGCTACTGGCTCTGCCCTGCAGATGTCAAGGTGCAGAGGCAGGTAACCGCACGAGTGCCGCAGCTAGAGCTTGGCATTGAGAGTGTGGCATCTACACAACAAAGGCGCAACATGTCCAAACTCACACTGTTCCCCACCTGTGTGCATGCAAGGAAATACAATGAAACTCTCTCCATTGCAGCTATGCCTCAGCACACAGCCGCTAGAGGCATGCTACTTGCTGCCGCCAGTTGTGATGTTGGGAGGTGCCCCAACGGGTTGGAAGGAGAGCGGCCACGCCTCCATGGGGTGCGCCAGGTGTGTGCAGATGCGCCGTTCCACTGCATTGGCCGGATCACAAGATGCAAACATGACTTGTTTCAGGCCCGGGCATGCGCATGCAGTTGATGCATGCATTTCTGCTGTCCTGGATAGCTTTGCTGCCGCCGGTTGTGGCCCAGCCAGGCCCAGGAGTCACAGGTGCCATGCATTCAAGAGGCAGGACCACTCACTGAATTTGAGGTTCTCAGGTGGATTGAGAAGGTAACGGTCGGCGGGATGGGGATTGGCAGCAACCCTCCAGACAGCCTCGCCAGCTGCGGTTGTGCAGGCATCCGGGCCGAAGAGATAAGGTGTTGGAGGTGATTGGTTTTCATCTTATCTTTTCCAGCACACCCATCAATGGCCGAACGCAGGTTGCAAATCGGGAAGTTACGAGACAGCGCTCCTGCATCCGCCAACAATCGTCAGCTGCTGGGGCGTGTGGACACGATGACTGAGCCAGCCAGCAACACTCCGAGTTACAACTTTTGGTGTGGCCAGCAGAAGCAGCAGCAGGAGATTCGCCTCTCACCTTGAGTTGCGGTCGCAAAGGCGTTCAAAGATGCATTGTACGCGGCGTTCTCGTACACCGCCAGCTCCGGCCCCGTCACCTGCTGGTCCCTGCAGCCTGAGCGCATGCAGGCAGGGTGCAGGGGACAGGTGATGGACGCACGCATTCCAGCATGCAGCCAGAGCACACAGCGGTTGTCGTCGACGGCTAGCTGCCTGTCACGCTTTACACAGCACTACAGCAGTACAATTGACTGCAAATGCCCTGAGTTGTTTGCGTTGCTGATCAGCACTGTGGTTTGCGTGGCACCTGAGAAGTGCCCGTGTGCCAGGATGCAACCACAAGGTGTGATGGTCCAGGAAAGTCATTTCATCAAACTGAGCGTCCTGGCCCATCCCCCCCCTTGCGAGCGTACCAGGGATGCTGTTGCGGATTACGTTGGTGCGCACGTTGCCCGGGTAAAGTGTGGTGTACTGTATGTTGGTGGGCCGGTCGTAGTGCTCCCACAGCCAGTCCTCTGCAAGCTTGGCCATGGACACCTGAGGCGGGCCAATGGAAATCAGCAGGTTCAGGGTCCGGGGCTCAGGCTGCAGCACTTGAGGCCGAGACAGCTGCTTCGTCGGGGTCGGCGTGTCGAGACTTGTGGGTGCGCGGCATTGAATGCTGTGGTGTGTAATTTACCACACGTAGTGCACTCGCTGTGCAGTGGGGGCGGTCTTACACGGCTGCATGATGTGGCCGCCCTCTCGGGGCCCAGCAGTCATCCAGCACCACAGGCAGCAGCCACCTTGGAAGCCGCGTAGGGCATGCCGCCCGGCAAAGACACGAAAGCGGTGACAGAGGAGGTCGCCAGGATGCGGCCGTACCCTGCAGTCAGCGCCGGTGGGCACACATGGTACGTTGGGTACGGGTAGGCCTGGGTTGGGAATGGCCGGGCAGCGCAGCTCACCTGTGAACCAGCAACGCAGGAGGGGCGGTTCTTGCCAGCACTCTGTCTTTTCAATGTACCAGGCCGGGTGCGCACGGTACCAGAGGCGTAAGTTGCATCCAAGCACGCATTGTGGGCCCCACCCTGCTTGGGCATCAGTGGCAGGACGGCCAGCAGCAGGCGGACGTTGCCCCAAAAGTTGGTCTGCATGACCAGCTCCATCTGCCCAATCTCGTTGCACACCCTGCCCTGGGCATTGGGGAAGTAGGTGCTGGAGCCGTAGCCGCGCCCTGGGGTGCCGGCAGGGTCGGCGCGTGGCAGCGAGGGTGGGCGGGGCAGCAGGATCCAAAGCGCCATGGGCTGGGGCCCTGCACTACTAGCCAATGCCGCCCGCCAAGTCACGAGGGCCCGCAGCAGGCAGCGAGGGTTCACCCATCCCAGGCCGCACACCCACTGGCACGGCGTCCCACCCGCGTTAAGGAAGAGCAGGTCCACACGGCCGTAGGTCTGGTTGATGCGCCGCACGAGGTTGTCTATTGAGTCGTAGGAGGACTGCTCCATCGGCCACAGCTCCCAACCGGCTGCAGGGGGCATCCAGCAGGGCAAAGGGGCACACTGCTTTGACCTTGCCCCTTTCAGGGTCTGCCCTGGGGACGTGGGCCTGGACGCCGAAATCTCAAGGCGCATGCGCTGAGTTTGTGCGCACAAGCTCAGGCACAGCGTGCCAGCTTTCCTTCCCTGTGCGTGCACCCGAAATGATGTGTGCGTGCGTGCTGATTGCAGGACGGCTTGCGCGTGCACATGCACACACAACTTGCCCTCACCAGGCTTGCACCTGTCGCCAGGCACCTCATATGTGCAATTGTTGGTGTACTGGCTTGGGTTGCGCGACGTGCCCACCACCTTCATGCCCGCGGCAGCCAAGCGCTTGGCGGCGCCAAAGCCGATACCGGTGGAGGCGCCTGTGACGAGCGCCACCTTCCCCCTCAAGTCCTGCGGGCAGGGGAGGGGGGAATGATCACCGGGTACACTCGTCAGTGAATGCAGCTTCTAGCTCAACCAGAAAACCACTTGCATGGAGCTTCAGCTGTGTCTGCGGAGGGCAGCCCTGCCGGTCAATCGGGTTAGGGGAGGGCGCCTTGACGCCGCACCTCACACGGCGGGATCGGCGGGCCACCGGTCGTGTTGGCACTGGGGCTGCCGAGGCTGCAAGGCAGGGGCCCCGTGTACTCGGCAGTGGGCAGCACCTTGGCCATGTCCAGGGGGCAGGGGGGCTCATTGGCCAGGTACGCTTCATACGCTGCCGGACGTTTCGAGGGGTGTGGGGGAGGGTGGTTGCTGGTGTACTCTTGAAGGGTGCGGGGGAGGGAGCTTGCCAGTGTGCACAGGTGGCTGGGAGCAAGCAGAGCAACCTGGTGGTGGGAATTCACTAGGTGTAAACGCAAGCCACAGACGTGGGTCCAGCAGCCAGCCTAGTGCGATTTATGACAGGGGGGCGGGGCCTCGCAGCAAGGCAGGGTCGGTGCTCTGTCACGGTTGTCAAGACGCGCCTGCTGCTGTGGTCGCATTGATGCCGCGGGCTGGGTTCGTCAAAATGCACATGAAAAGCAGCACCAGCCAGCAGATCATCTTGCATTCGGTTCCCATTGCCATGCCTGTCAAGCTGGGTGTGGGCGGGGGTACCGGCGAGGGTCTAGTCAGCGGCCAGGTGCGGCTCTGCAGCGACGCGCGGATATCAAGCTCAGTTGTACTGGTGGTTTGAATGCAAGGTGGCACAAACCAGTTTTGAAAGAATCAAGGGCGTCTGCCGGTCGATTCTCGCCAAGGACCTGATCTCGAGGTACGTCGATGAGCGCTGATACAGATTTTCAAATAGGGAGCAGGTATCAACGTTGATCAGACGCCTGAGATATAGTGTTGGACCGAGACATAGTCACCGCTTGCACCCACGGCAGTTGGCTGAGTAATGGTGGCGCTATGAGCAAGCTTGCGTCACCTTGCGGCGCGCGGTGACAGCTCGCCCGG